CGTAACAAGATAAAAATCTTTTTAAAAAATTTATCTTTCGCTTTATTCTACGTTTGTAGAAAAAGCGAAACTAACAATAGAAAAAAATTACTCTCATCATTTGTCCCTAACGCGCCAAAGTATATACACTAAAAAATGTTGCTATATAACTTCAGTGTCGGTTTTTGACGTATCATCAAAAATTTATCTCATCATTTTTACTAAGCGCAGTCTATACACTATACATATATATTTTATACAGCATCTATGCCAAACAATAATTATAATATATGTACTAACTTACATACTATCACAAAATACTGACAAATTTTATTTCTACATCAAAAATTAAAACATCTTCTCTCAATCATCACAAACCTGTCACAATTATACCCCGTTCTGGTGCAGAACTTAGGAAACGTTTTGTTATCGAGATCGTAATTAGTGATTTAATTAAAACTGGTCTTAAATGTTATTAATAGATAAAGACCGTACAATAATAATAATTATTGACGTTAAATTGACACAAGCGTGATAAAGACGAAACATATATTATATGTTAATGTTTATTAATTAGTGGTAACTTCTTCCGACATAATATATCTTAAAACAAAATCATTTATTCATATAGGTAACACAATGTACACTTATGAACGTCAAAAAAGAAATTTACATTAAATGCTTCTAATATACATGCTTCTAATATACACTCAAATCAAGGGCGTCGAACGGAAGAGAAGAACTGGCAAAAAACTCTCCACTACTCTTTTTAATCACCAAGTTTTTTGTTTTACACAATGTTTGTAAGGAGCTTCAACCATTACACCATGTTCCACATGTCATTTAAACAATTTCTTCATGTTAAACTCTACATAGTTATATAACCAGAAAGTTCTTATGAAAATGATGAGCCTGTGGCCTTGTTATAAAAACGTCATGTCCCTCGAGATTTCCTGAGGAGATTTATTGAATGGGCTGCAAATGGGCACGTGTCTGATAATACTTCGTTAGGGGCCAATTTGAAGCAGGCTAGTGGTTAAGCGTGCAATTCTCAACTCTGAGGTCGTATGTTCGAATACCGTACAAATATGAATATTTCTGTGCGCAACTCGTGCCGTCAAAGAAACATCGAGAGGAAACCGGCATGTCTTAGACGCAAAAAAAATATGACGTGTATCAAAATCATGTATTGTGAATATCCATAAAGGATTGAAGCGTATGTATGTAGGGTTTTTAATTCATGTATTGGGTAGCTGATAAGAAAATTAACTTGTCTAGTATAGGGAGTGATCTATCATTTGCAAAACAAATTTTTGAGGCACATCTGTCTTACGATACCTTTTTACCCGCTCATGTATCCGACCTTATTAATCTTGGTTCTGTGGGCTACAACGAGTTTAGAGTATGCCAAGAATTCGCGCTTGTGATGTATGTACTTAATAAAATTGTTACATGGCATGGAGAGTAGTTTAATATTCGGCAGTATTACAGTGCCTTAGTTTCAATGTGCCTGATGGGTACGTCAGAAGGTGTTCGTCTGCCGTTACTTCATGTGCCCACAGTTATGACAACCTTCTGAAAAGGGCACATATGATTCGGTGTATAATTTTAGTTAACGAATTACATAGGTTAACGGATCTTTTTATTGTCCGTTGAGTGAACTTACATAAGTTATATTATTTGCCTATAGTATTTTTTTAAATCAGGATTTATAAAAAAAATTAAAGCAGGCAACTAGCAGATATTTTTTCCGACCTTTAGAAAGTCCTAACTCTAAACTGATGTCTTAGCATATTCCTCTATCAACTCCAATTGTACTATTTTTGTGAAAACACCTAAATGTAACCCATTATACAGGACTATTTAAAATTTAACAATTATTCCTCTAGCGTACATTTATTTACACGAACGTTAACGCGACAATGTGATAATACATCCAGTCAGCTTATCAAAAGCCATAATAGTAAAAATAAACTGCTTTGGGAAGCACGTCCGCCAGTTTAAGTTGAACTTTAAAATTCAATGGTTTGAATAATTTAACGGCGAGCTTCAGTACCGTTATTGGGTAAGGTAGGTCACGTAAAATGGCTGATACCAAAATGTTAAAATTTTAGGGTGTTGAAGTAAACTATTGTTATTGACACGTGCGTATTTTATGGGGAATCATAGTGATGAATTGCAGTTCCGAATAACCGAACTTGTTTTATTTATGCTTATTGCACATTAAAATATACACATTTAACGTCGTTTTAATAAAATTATCCCCACATTTCTTAGTGGTTGGCACTGTCATGCAGGTGTGATGTCTTTATAGTGACGGTCGAACTTACGGTAAAATTGTGAGAAATAAATATGCAATCTTGTTACTGTATTTTTATTTGAACTATTCTACTACTTTCTAGTATTATGCACTGTTACTATTTACCAATAAATGTTGTTATTTGAATCATATAAACGGTTGCAGTTAGTTTAAGATAAAAAGAATCCTATGAATATCTGATGCAATTTTTTTATCGTGTATTTATTTATGTTTAATGTTGTAATTTATACATCTATTATGGCAGCAATATATTTTTTAATGAGCTGTTACAAAATAGCTATCTAAAGGAGATAGTGAGTTCAAATTATAAAAAAATACTGCAATTTTATGTAATTGTTAGGGACCGAGTGTGAACTAACGATACAAATTGTGTACACCTTAAAATGTGGACAATCGTTTTTGGTTAATAACCAGAGTAAAATACTATACATTATTCATACTTATATTTATTTTACCAAAAAACAAAACAGACTCAATAATAGAATGAATTGAAATAGACGTTAAATATTAAATAAAAGCCTTTATATTTCTCCCTAATTTGGTTGCTATGTAATAAGTATATACGAAAAGAGACTAAAATATATGAAAAAGAACATGCTAAAAGTTATTACCATCACACGCCCCTAGTGTCATTTGATCTTAATGGTCCAATACGCATAATAAATCCATTATATGTGAGAAAATAATGATATCATTTTAGTTTTGATATTTCTACTATAATAATTTATTATTATAGTAGTTAGATATATGTGTTAGTGGTTGATCGCGTGAGGTCGTTCGAACCCGGTGAAAATATGCAGATTTTACAATACATTCTACTTGAAAATAAAATACTGTCAAGTATATCCCAGACATTAGATAGAACCTTTTCATAATAATAATTATAAATTTGACACGCGATTTTTTAAGGATTCACAAAGATTAATCTTTAAATAAGGGCAAATAAACCTATAAGATCGAAAAGTAAAATAACATTAACAAAAGGTAATTGTGTCACTTTTTATTCAACATACAAGGTATATAGGCTAACTTACTAAACTACTTACAAATTTGATTGAAACTGCTTGAATATAAAAAAAAACATCTTACAGTCATTCCTCAGCCTTTGCAAATAAATTCAGAGCTATTATAGAACTAAAGAAACAGTTAAGTAGCGAAACCACACGCGGTATTAGTGACAGCTGGCAGATGACAGTTCCTGAACTCAAATCATGGCGTGCTTTAAGGATTAATGGGAGAAAGGAAAATACCCCTTAAAGTATCATTATTGACAACCATTTACTCTGAATAAACAACTCTGACTACGGCAGTAATATTTTTGTCAGTTTAACACGATATTGTGGCTATCTATAATAAAATCTTTTCCACACATTAAGATAAATTTATCGATTGTAATCCCCTAGGATGCAGTACAATACCCAATATACAATTAATTTAGCGTCAGCGTCGAATTCTGTTTTCATAGACAATTGTCATTTTGGTGGGTTTATGCTTCTGTTTGGGTAAATGTTCTGTAATCTATATAATCTCAATCTATACGTATATGTTACACTACGCCAAAGGAATACAAACTGCTGTCAATAACTGGTACTAAATTACAATAGTAATTATAAATTAGTTTTTTTATTTTAAAGTAAATAAATTATCAAGAGCAACGTTGGCCTGTGGCTTCAGCGTGCTACCCAGAGGTCGTAGGTTCGTTCCCAATGAACTCTCTTTCTATGTACGCATTTAACATTCGCTCGAACGGTGAAGGAAAACATCGTGAGGAAACCGGCTTGCCTTAGACCCAAAAAGTCGACGGTGTGTGTTAGGCACAGGAGGCCTACTTGCCTATAACATTGATTAATGATCATGAAACAGATTCTAAAAACTGAGGCCTAAAAAGGTTGTAGCGCCACTGATCTATTTATTTTTAAAGAAATTGTCGATATTATTGATTTTAAATTGTTATTGATGTGAGTGGAATTTGTCGATAATAATAATACAATCTTGTAGACGAAGCAACGGTCATAAGTAAGTTATTTACTCGCTTCTGCTATGACTTAAAATCATATTTAATAGTAAATTGTTCTCTATCCATAATATCTCTTTTCAGTATAATTACTTGTCAACAATATGAGCGGTAATTTGATGAAAATTTGCGGTAATTTAACGCTTTTAATGGAGGTGCTTGTAATTTTCCATTCAGCAAAGTTTGAGAGGCTCTTAGGTATAATAGGATTTTCATAAGTCACCTGAAGGTGAAAAGTCTGTGATTAAACATACAGGTCAATGTTCTTGATTACTTCACTATACGAGTATTTATTGATGTTTCATTTTAGTTCTGTTTTCGTTTATATACTGACGACATTACGAAGGTACTAAAAAGTGAGTACATTTTTGTACCTAGAGTCTTTTTCTTGTATTATCTATTTCATGTATTTCAAAAGCCATTGGTTTTGTTCCGAAAATAGAATTGTAAACTATTTGTAAATTGTTAGGGTCTTAGTCGTGCAAAAAGGTAAGGTAAGAAGTAGGTAAAGGAAGAAAGTCTCATATCTTGGAAACGTTCTGCTACAGACTACAACCATCAGTAGGTGCAGACGTCTACAGACTATGATCATGGGCAGAATTGTGGGGTAACGCAAACCCGATAGACGCCCAATGTCTTGGCTAAGAAACATCCAACAGTGGCCGATGGAAATTGTTAAGATTGCCA